GTCATCAATTATTATTAGTTTGTGTTTATTAAGATTTAGCTATATTTAGCTGTAACACTTGTCCGAGCTTCTTTTGTTAGTGTTGGGACGATATGAAATTGAGCCAACATGTTTTGTTATTGTCACGTCTCTAGAAATTAATCTCCTATTTATTACTCATTTCATAAAGTTTGCCTTCTCCCTTCAGCTAGCCCTTACTCGGTTAAGAGGCTATAAAGGAAATCATATTGCTGATCTTGTCATTAATTACGTAACAAAAGGACAATGGCTTGAAATTGATTTGAGGGTTATTTAAGGCACATGCATGGTGTTTTAAGAGATTGCGGTTTTTTTTATAGTTCTTGTTTATTTTGGTTGTTGAATGCTACAATAATAATATAGAAGGGGTCCAATGAATTAAGTAGAATACAAAGCATATCTTTTCTTTTAGGGGGGCATTCAGTTCGGATACGGCTTGAATATGATATTTGCCGTATTCATATCCGTTTATCCATCACGGATACGAAGACGCTTACAGATATACATGGATAAGAAAAATACATATTCATATCCGCTATTATCGGATACAGATATATATGGATATACATGTCGATATATAAGCGGATATGCATGCGGATAAAAAAAAGGATATGAGAAAACTAGATAATATTTTAAAAAAAATGTAGTTCATATGATACAAAAGAGTTAATTAACATATTCGTTATATCTGAAAAGGTAAGACTAGACGTCTTGATCATCAAAATTAACTTCAAATTCATAATCCAAAGATTAAAACTATAGTAATAATATGACCAATATGCATTCGGAATTTAAGATACAGATCCGAATATTTCACTACAAAACCATATTCGTAACTGTATTCTATCGGTTAAAAAGTTGATTAACTATATCTGCATCCCGATGGATATTTCCTTAGATAAAGGATACAATTATCTTCCGATACATAACCTTGTTTCTGTAAAATAAGCTATAGAGCTAGCAATTCAGACATTTGTTAATTACATACAAAAGAATATAGGACCATGATTAAATTAATTTAACAAGATGCATAAGTCTCCATGTGTGCACCATACTACTATAAACCATGGTATCTGGTTTATTTTGATTCTCACGAATTAAAACACACATGGGGCAAAAAGAAAATTTTGTAGGGAGCTAAACATAGGCCACAGATGATTCACAAATCAATAATATTGCATACGAGTCCATCTTCACCTACTTGATAGGGACAAATTATGCCTGGGTTATATCCTAATGCTCCAACTTTTTAGTGTAATCTAGACGATCTACATCTAATCAAAATTACTAGGTCCAAATACCCAATTTGGTGCAAAGTTAGAACCTACTAAATTCATATGGACCAAGGTGCAAATTCTAATATTGGACCAACTATATACAATAAAACTTATCACACTTAAAATAACACGGCATCTCTTGATGTGGCCACTCTAAAGGCAAATTCGATCATGTCTCCTTTCCATCTATCTTTGTGGGATTTCTTTACCTTTTCTTCTCTTCAAGTGGTCTCATGGAGTGCAATCTTGCATAATTGGTTAATCTCCCTCCTTGCTTCTAATCCATGTGTAGCTTTTCAATATAATAAAGAAAATTCCATTCACTCTATTAATGCTTGTCTAACACCATTGTCATATAAATAAAAAAGCAAGGAAAGAGGAGATATATTCCTCATCTCGCTAGCTTCAAATCCTAGTCTTTATACAATGAAGCACTTCATTATTCTCTCATAGCTTAAATTTGATGTAATTAAGTTGCCATGATGCCCAATGATTTAAGACTTGAGCTCTTGTAGATGCTCCCTTTATCACTAAGCTTTGCTCCGAGTTCTCTACATGATTAGGTGTTTTTTTTTTAATGGATGTATAGTTGATTGCATCTTGAGCTAGAGTGCATTACGCCAACCAAATTAACGGTTGCTATGGGCCACTAAACTTTTATTAGGCTTTGTATTTTGCTTTAGCATCTCTTTTTTCAACTTCAAACTCTTTTGTTTGGTTTTATATATTTTAATTTTCTTTTAGTCCAACTACTTCACCCCTGAGTACATTGGATGACGATGGGAAGGACCATAGAAGCAGCCAATTTAATATTTATTTACTTCCATTATAAGTTTATGTGGCATAGTTTTATTCTTACGCGCATAAAATAAGCTTCTTAGGATTTGCACATGATTGCTTGTCGCAGACAATTTCTACTTATTTAGTACCATGGTGGTTGTGATCATAAGAAAAATAAGTAAATATTCAAAAGATCTAAACGTGGATCCAATTTGATCAAGGCTTAATTACAGATACAGCCCCCATCCACTTAAAATATTATGAAACTAAACATTTTTTGTTACCACTTGGAACTCCAGACGTCCAAAAGTAGTTATCTTTCTGTAATATGTACCAATTTCATGAATGTCATGACATAAATATATTGCAGGGAGGTCCTTTGACATTTCAATGTGTAAAACAACAATAAACATTTCAATGTTACGAAGAAATATCTTACTCTCCTATAGTTGGTGAATACACACAATGTCTTATTCTCATATAGTTGGTGAATACACACACTCTACAGTACATGTACAAATTAAAGTAATGAAGAGAGAACTTTCTAGACACCAGAGAATCCAAATGTTAGTAACAATGAAAAAAACAGCATAGTAAATGACTGCATCCGCATTAAACTATGTTCTTAATCATCCTATTCACATGATATTGTTCCCCAGAGAACGGTAAGCCAAAGATGAAAGATAAAACACTTTTTGATGTCAATGATACACTACTACGAACTGTAGCAGCCCCAACGGTTGTAACACAAACCGTTGGGGCTGAGTGTGTCCCGCTGAGTGTGTCCCCAACGGTTACAACCGTTGGGGCTGCTAAAATGCCCGTTAGGACAAGTCGCATTGAGGCTGATTTTGCTCCAACAATTAAAAAACTTGCCCCAACGGTTACAACCGTTGGGACAAGAAATTTTTATTTTTAAAAAATAAAAAAAACGCCCCAACAGTCCAAACTGTTGGGGCTTATTAAGACCCCAACGGTTATTCGGCCCCAACGGTTACAACCGTTAGGGCAACAAGTATATAATTTGTAAAAAAAAATGGAACCTGCACTAAAATGATATCCCAGTGCTTGCCATTTTGCAATTCATGCATATCAATGTAATTCTTCGGATGTCAAAAAAAATTCTACGGGGAACAGTAGATCCGATATACAAAGTCTAAAGATAAACGAGCTATTTGATAAAAACAAAAGATACCTCATATGTGAGACCAAATTCAGCAGCTAGCTAGCTTTGAGAGACCAAATTCAGCAACCTTGGCATTTAAATTTTCATCAAGAAGGATATTAAGGCTATGTTTGGTTGGAGAGAAAGAGAGAGAAAAGAAAAAGAAAGAGAAAGTAAAAAAGAAAGGGAAAGAAAAAGAAAAGAAAATGATATGTTTTTTTATTGTTTGGTTAGAAATAATATTATAAGAAAAGTTAGAAGAATATTCATACAAAAATCATTTTCTCTTTGTCTGGTTAACTTTCTGAGAAAAAAAGGAAAAAATTTATCATAACATAACTTTAATTCATACTTTTTTGATTTAGATTTAGATTTTAAATAGTTCACAAAAAATAATTAACATGTAGAAGCACAACTATAATTCTACTAATTAAAGAACAATATTTCTCACACATAATATTAACAAGCAGAAGCACAACCACAACCACAACCACAATTCCACTAATTAAAAATAATATTTCTCACACACAACATTTACAGAAAGAAATGTCAATGAAAGAACCAAAACAAATCTAAAGTAAATGTCATGATAATCCTAAAATAAAGTATAATCAATTTCATATAGAAAATCTTAACTAACAAAGTCTATTACAATCAATTTCATATAGAAATAAAGTATAATCAATTTCATATAGAAAATCTTAACTAACAAAGTCTATTACAATCAATTTCATATAGAAGATCTTAACCAACAAAGTCTATTACAATCGTCTATTACAATCAATTTCATATAGAAGATCTTAACCAACAAAGTCTATTACAATCAATTTTATATAGATAATCTTAACCAAAGAGAGAGAAATATGCCGAAGTCATTGGTTTTTGACTTTAGTGAGCCCATCAAAACATCAATCTCACATCCTTCATTCCCTGAAATTAATTCAAAAAAAAATCAAATAAGTAGAATATAAACATCAAAAACCTATAAAATGAAGTCTTAAGATTCTTTTAGAAGCAAAATGAAACTACCACTCGTCGTATCATGGTTCTTTTCGTAAGACTAATCATCAGAAATGATGGAAGTGACTAATCATTGTAATGTTAAGTTTGTCCCAGAAACATGTGGCTTTGTATTCTAATCTTGTGAAATTTACTGAATACTTCCAAATGGACAGATCACTTGAAGGCATGCTTATTGTAAATCTGTATATAAATCAGTATGGGAGAAAAGAATTTCAAAGCAATAAACTCAGAACTAGAAAAAATTTCATACACACACAAAAAGAAAAGATGCATATATTGGTGATATAAGTAACTTTGTACATGGAACAGACTTCAATGATAAGAACTATAATATCATACTCAATAAACATTGAATTACAAAGCTTCAAATTATAAAGCAAGTTGTTTAAAGATCCAATGGCCTTTTTATCAAACATTAAAAATAAAAAAAGATTCTGAAGGACCAGTACGACAAACTCGAGTTAAAACTGATTTTCCTATATTAGTTGCAGACCACGTAGGAAATGGAAGAAAATATAACATGTTCAGCAGTCCAAAATTGAACCAAAATAGCTAAAGAAGTCCTGGCCAGACAACATTGAACCCAAAAGACCAGTTTCCCTTTAGCAAGGATACACATTAATGCCAGTTTCTTTTTTTTTTTAATTTACAAATCGTAACGAAAGCTGCAAGTAAAAACACATATCAACCATCAAAACCTTTCATGAACTTGCGATGATACTGAGAATGTTTTGTCTGTCCAATATTTTCCAATGCTCTTAAGCTTTATGCAGTCTTTAGATACACAAATCGACAAAAACAATTAAAACACAAATCATTAGGCAGACCAATAATAATCATCAACCAAGAGATGGCATGTCATAAATACATCTACAACTGATTAACCTCCATTGTTTTCTTTTGCTAAAAAATTTTGGAGATTAACCTCTAATTAAACAGCAGGTAACAACTACTCCTCAATGAATTCCTATACTCCAGTGTTAATGATAATTATTAAGGACAATAGTGTAACATACAACGTTACATAGAAAAGTCACTCCTGTTAAGAAGATATATGAAGCCAGAAATATATGGTTGCTCTGCATAATGAAAAGTACAAGGAGGTTACACTACCTGTCCTAGCACATGGTCGTTTCTTCTTTTACTCAGCCAAAGTCTCTTCTTCAAACCGTTCACGGCCCTCAAGCAGTACACCCAGATAGCTATATATACTGCTTTGAATCAAGATACCAGTAACACAAAATAAATTGTTTCCCAAGAGAAACACTATAAGAATTTTGATAGGCAAAAATTGTAAAAATAGGAGACATCATTCAGAAAGTTGTTCTCCAGGGAGAGAACAGAATGCATTATAGAACACAGGACTGGTATGAATTGTTGACATACTCAAACTTATAAATTTGTAATACCTGTTTAAATATGGTACTGGTTCCTGATCCATCATATCCAACCAACAAGAACTTTTGAAGCATTCTTTGCTCAAAAAAAAAAGAAATCTTTGCCCAAAAAAAAATGGAAATGCTCCATTAAGCATGTTATTCACTTCTTCACCGGAGGGATTTTCACCCTTACAAGGAACTGACAGTGACAGAAAAGAGCATAGAAGCTTGGTTCTAGCCTGTTCAAACAAATAGATCAGAAAATTTTACCTCAACTTAATCGAAAAACTAAAGAAACACGGTAATTTATTAAAAGCATGACCATGAAATTACCTTGCCCCATAACTTCCCCTTTACATTTTTCTGTCCCTCCTCCCAGTATGATCCATCAGCATCCACCCAGAAGTGAGGACTTCCGGCACATTTGACTCTTCTCCACTGGGATACAACCACATCTATCAGGATTGCAGGAGCTGACATCGGTAAATGTAAATACATTATGTTTAGATTGCATCTGCAGCTCAACTTTTGTTATCTCACGATTATTTATCATGACACCAGTATTCCCATTGCTTGCGTTTTGCATCAGACAACCTCCCACATTAAGGTTTACAGTAATTATCTTGTCAGGTTTATGCTCTTCCTGTCAATGTGAAACAAAAACAATCATTCCCACAAATTATCAAGCTCAGAACCTTCATAATCCTTATCATGTATGAGACATTACAAAATTATCAAGCTCAGAACCTTCATAATCCTTATCATGTATGAGACATTACATTCTGGAAGCTAGAATCATATTTGTTATTGTGCATCATGTATGAGACCTTATCATGTATGAGACATTACATTCTGGAAGCTAGAATCATATTTGTTATTGTGCATCATGTATGAGACGTTACATTCTGAAATTAATTTCCTGTAAGACTGCATTGCCAACATATTTCTTATTGTGCATCATATTTGTTCAAATGTTAAATTAAAAACATGTAATTAGAGCGAAGATGATAAAATGCAAACATGTAATTAAAGTGTAAGAAAAACAAAGGAATGTTAGTCAGTTTTTTGTCATTTTACCTTAAAATTATGAACTATGTGGTAAAATGCAAACATGTAATTAGAGTGTAAATTAAATTACCTCCTAGCACTATGCTTACTTTTTATATATCACCTTTTGAAAGCTCCTAGTGGAGGTCATTTACATGAGCTAGGATAAGTAACATTGAATGCTGTGGTCTAAACTAATAGGATAAGTAACATTGAAGTTACAGGAACTAGCCAAAATATATCATTTTTGATATTAAGACATGCATAGATATTCCTTATACTACAATGTGACATATGTATTGTGGGCTTTGGATGTGCATCATGCACTCAAATCTGTGTCGTGTGCATATGCAATTTGTATGCTAAATAGGATATGTAAGTGATAGTGTAAATTGACTTGTGTTCTCAACAGGCTAAAGAATTGATGAGAGGTACAAAAATGTTCAACATACCCATGTTCAGGAAAAACAGTCTTCTGCAACTTTGATGTGGATGAAGATGCCTGCATCAGACATATGAAATAAATATTCAAAAATTAAGTTAACTACACAAGAACCCAAATTCAAATAAAACTACCAACATGAAAATCTCTGATGGGCATCGTTGACCAGGAGTATGCTCAGAAAGGTGCCAACATCGTAGAAGATCAAGGAAAAGAAATATCCATCGAGATAAATTATGAAGCCATCGTACCTGGTCTCGGATGATATATTGAATGGAATATTGTAAACAAAGGAAAACTGAAGATTAAAATCTGAAAATGCACATCTTTATGTCAAACCAAAAGACAAAGGCACGTCTTTTTGCATTAATTGAGAAACTGCAAGGAACGAGTATATAATCTATTTATGTATGAATTTCGTTCAAGAATGATATGTGCAATTTGTGATATTACAATATCATTTGTAAAATTTGAGAACTTAAAATAAGTAATATTAGGGTTTTGGAGCATTATACCTAGCTTCTAGAAACTCCGGTTTCTCAAAAAAATAAAATTTGGAGCAAATTGAAATGGAATTGATTACAATCTAATAACCAATCAAACATCATAATCAATCAAACTCAACCTAATACCATAAATTCAATATAATCTTCCAATTTTGTACTTTTAACTTGAAAACTACAGAAGTTACAAGATTTCACCAAAAATTAAAAGAGTGCATGATATGGTTCATAAAACAATTAAGAACAATAAATAGCAAAAATGAAATGCAAAAATATCAAGTTTTGATTAAAAAAGTAGGAGCATTTCATCAAACACTTGGAAAGTAAAACCTAATTGAAGATCATGTGGGCGGATTTTGATACCTTTCAAGTGTTGGTGAACTCAACAATGGCTTGGCTTCCTCTCTTAGATCAAAATAGACCTCTGATTTTTCTAAAAAAGGTAAAAATTGATGAAAGGTAGAGGGAGATTAGGGTTACCTCGATGAGTTTTAGGAGGCGGCGGCCACGGTGGTGGCGCGGTGGGATGCCGGCAACAGGGATGAAGGAGATCCGAGAGAGGTCGAGGGAGAGAGATCCAAGAGAATGACGAGAGAGAGCTCAAGGAGATTTGAGATCGAGAGAGAGAGAGAGAGGGGGGGGGGGGGTGATGCCTCTATGAATTATCCCTCAGATTTCCATTTGGGATGAATTCATATAACAGTGTTGCCAATATGTCATCGTCATACTTGATAAATATAGAAACAAACAAAAAGTTCAAAAAAATTATTAACCATAGCAAACTGGAAGGGTCAAATGATAAACTGAACCAATGCAACTTAAATTCTTTCACACAGCAGCCTCCCAGAGATCACTTGTTAGCTTTAGAAGTGATTTAACTTGGAAAGTCATACATCATCTAGCCAGAAAATCAATAATAACTTAATTTCACTTACCTCCCTAACAATATTTATCGTATCTTCAACTTGTTTACGGTGCGCAATTACCAGCTCTTCCTCTTCCTGTAATATCAAAGTCATAGTGTGTTAACTGGAAGTTGGAAATAAAGGTAACATAAACTTAATTACTTAAGCTAATTCCTACCTTTAAAAGTGCATTCAGATCATCATCAGAATGCAAGCTGTTAGCATCTGTTTCAGGCACATACTTCCATTTTGTCTGGGCATCAACCCTTCGTGCCTTTTCCTCAAAGCCGAAATTTGAAAAAGTCTCTGCCTTTCCTTTCCTCCTTGGCAATTTCTCTTGCTCATAATCATTGTCCGAAAAATCATCATCATCTGTGTTTGCTAAACCCCTGCTTTGTTCCCTGTAAAAATTGGAATATGAAGATGAAACATGCATTTCCTCTCTTCCTAAACAATAAATTCCCGCATTCATATGCAGGTTACTAATCGAACTCTTCATTGCAAAGTAGATAATAATCCATATCAAGGATCACATAGTAAAAGTGAGGACCATAGCATATTCAATGCAGCATAATGTGCGAATGAGACATGCAACAACAAACTAAATAGCCTTCAATAGTTAGTAATGCATGTTGAGTATAAGCAACCACTAATTCTTTCACTACTCCATAAAGTTTATATTTTAATTTTTATTCATCAATTTACAAACAATTTATTAAAAATTAAGCAGTGTATCCATCTCCCCTCCATGGTTTGTATCGGCATTTATATGTGAGAAGCAATTTTCCATAGATTAATTAGCAGGATGTGCGGATTTTAACAGCGCATCGTTGATACGGGCTAGTAAAACTACCTCAACCACTGCGTCACTCAACTTTTGCCCATACTATTATGATGAGAAGGAAAACTCATAACAAGATGCAGTAACTATCGCCAAGTTGCAAAGTTATGATCTACATCACTCACATGTAGAACACATTTTGTTGTGTGCAGGAAATTAATGTGACCAAAACAAACAAAAACTCAGAATTCAAGGATATATACCTTTGGCTTAACATAAATAGTTAATATATCAGATGATTAAGGGGTAATGGTGTTACCTTCAGAAATATGTCTGCCTCTAACACTGATAGTGAACACATAAAGTCCCTAACCTCAGGGAGTAAGGACTGCAATATCAGAAACAATTGTCATTACAATGAATGCAGCAAGGCACTGTATTCAACAATCAACTCATTTGAATTATCACACAAGTGATATAATAAAACTCCAGGAGATAACTTCATGTAACTTTCAGGACAAAAAGAAGTCTAGGACTAGGAGTGATGCCAAATTGATAAGCAGCTTTACATCAAAGGTATCTGATATCAGGGTATTTTCATCTTACCTGAGTTGAGTTGCTGTTAAACTAAGGGGACACCTCATCACAGAACTGATGATAAACCAAACACACATATTGACTTATAATACAAGGAATGCAATTTTATCATTAGTAACCCTATATAGGCAGGCAGGGAAAATACACATTTATTTGTAACAAAAAGAATGTACTCCGTTGCCCTCCATCCTAATAAACATGCTCCAGTCATAATATGCAAACAAACAACCAAATAACAATTAAGGGGGAAGAAAGGACCAGATGAGCTTCATAACAACTTGTGCATTATTTAGTAATCAAAAGGATGCTAAGAAGCTGAAGCTCATGGATCCAAGGGACAGGTTTCAAATCTGCTATTGTGACTTACTGAGGTAATTTAACTTTTTGGTCATAGAAGGAGGCAAAGAGCAAACAATAATAAATAAAAAAGGCAAAAGAAAACGAGATTTTGGTACAAACAATATTCCACGCTCTAGACAAACATTAAATGTAATTCATAGGCATTCTCACCAGCTCCAATTAAGTGATCAACTATCTCAAGTTCTCAACTAACCAAAAGACTTTCAGCAAATCAATTTTCAGGTTTCTAATAATTTGTGGAGTAGCGCTCCAACATTTTATTGAAACAAAGGAGGGAATACCAGGGAACTTAGATTAATATAAGTTCCTTACACTACATCCACTAAAAATGGCATGTTTTAGTACTGCTCAAATGATATTGCTTATAAACACAAATGGTATAACCATGTACGCTGCACAAATAGCTAATGAGTGACATCAATTAGCAATATGGTGCTAAAAAACAAGCAGTAGTAATAATAAACTTCACAATGACAACTGATGCTCATAAGCTATAACATTTAAGTAGTTTCCCATAAATGCTCCAACTTTAAATTGACTGAGAAAAAAATGAAAATTTTAAGTTGAAAGCTATCAACATATGAGAAACAACATTAGAAAAAAATTATGAGGGAAGATGAAGAACTTGTAATGAGCACTTGTTTTGGGTGGTATTAGACTCTACAGCAAGAGCAACCTGCCAGTCCTCAAATAAGTTTGAGTACTCTTCAGGATCAGCCAAGGACTCTGCAGCCTTTGGATTGACCTTTGCACAAAACCAATATAAGAACAAATCAAGAGTAAGTTATAAAAGCTAATTGAATAAAAAGAAAAACCTACAAACTAAAGCAGATACTGACCACTAAGAAGCAACAAAAATGATCTTTCATCTTCCCTTATGTTTAAATGCGTTTAAAATGCTGTTATAAATGAAGTTAAGAGATAACATGGCTGAACCTCAATGAGATCTTTCTTCCAAATTGCAACGATCTCTGAGACTTTGCTTGGAAGATAAGAACGAGCCATCAAGGCAGCTTCTGGAATACGGTTGCTACAAAGGGAAAAATGTTACCAGTGACACTTGAAGTGGCATGAATCAAGATTATACACTTAGACTAAAAGGTTTGACTATTAAAAAATGTACCTATCAACCAACAATTGAAGGCAGTCCTCCAATTTTCCTAACAAAAATAAACAAAGGAAGGCCACATTGTTCTTCCCTTGTTCTTTAGCAAGAGATGCAAGTTTAGCAATTCCTTCGGCATCACCGAGAGGCCACATTGTTCTTCCCTTGTTCTTTAGCAAGAGATGCAAGTTTAGCAATTCCTTCGGCATCACCGAGAGCAGAATAAATAAGTAACAAACCACTCAGCAAGAGATGCAAGTTTAGCAATTCCTTCGGCATCACCGAGAGCAGAATAAATAAGTAACAAACCACTAAGATCCATTGCTTGTGATAAGCATTCCTGAACCATATCTAACTGCAGAGACATGAACAACAACTCAAATAAATAACTGAGTCTATTTGGCTTTCATCAGAATAATTATGCACATAAAAGCTGGAATCAGACTATAATCAACAATACAGAATAAGTTTAAAAAAATGCATTAAAAATCAGTACCAGACTGGTTCTAAGATTAAGCATACCCTAGATGGCCTGCAATCAAACATTTCATAAATCAAGTAAAAGTCCTATTGGATGTTTTCATAATAATCTGACCTGTCGACCTCCAGTAACGCCGACAACCTTCTGTAGCGGCCATCTCTGAGCAGCGGCGACGACGATCTCCGAGCAACGAAAAAGAGGGGAGAGAGCGGCGGTGGAGGCAATCTCCGAGCGGCGGTGGTGGGACTCTCTGATTTGGAGGTTTCGATAGAGGGGGAACGAAGAAAAGGGCAAGGGGACTCTCTGATTTGGGGGGTTTCGTAATTTTTATTTATTTATTTTTGGTTAAAAAAAGGGAGGCAAAATTCCCTCCATGGTAAAAAAAATTGTCCCAACGGGCAGCTGCGGCAGCGATGGAGGCGATCTCCGAGCGGCGGTGGTGGGACTCTCTGATTTGGAGGTTTCGATAGAGGGGGAACGAAGAAAAGGGCAAGGGGACTCTCTGATTTGGGGGGTTTCGTAATTTTTATTTATTTATTTTTGGTTAAAAAAAGGGAGGCAAAATTCCCTCCATGGTAAAAAAAATTGTCCCAACGGTTGGAACCGTTGGGGCCTGCGAAAAGTTGCCCCAACGGTTCCCACCACCCGTTGGGGCTGGGCCACTTTGTACTAGTGTGAAGAACTGCTGATACTACAAGAACTAGAGAATCCAAATCCCATATATATATATATATATATGTACAAGAACGGAAATTAACTTGTCACCAATCTTGAATGAGAATTTAAATTTTGTGCAATAACAAATATTACCCCTCAAGGGAGATTGAAAGTGCCTTGAGAGAAATCAATTGCAGCTTGAGAGAAATATTCATTCATCGCTCTTAATTTCCACGTCCGTTACTGCTCATGGAATTCGCATTTGTCTGAACGATGCCACCGTTTAGAGAACCGATCATCTCAACGAACTGATCATCTCAACGAAGATTGATTGATCCCTTGCCTGACAAACAAGAATCTTGCCAACAGCTTGTCCAATTCTTTCGTGCAACATTGCCACAACCGCGCAGCTAAAAGCTTAAGAAAGAATGAAGGAATAACTGGATAAGGGTTTTTAGCATTGTCATAATAAACATTTATATGAACTTAGATATCTGGATTTGAAGAAAGCACGAAAGTATGGCGAGGGGAATCAGAATCACTACAACTACTTGTTTGATTTGAACAAAGTTCTCAGTCTGAATTTGAATCTTAATCTGGAATCAGAATCACTACAACTACTTGTTTGATTTGAACAAAGTTCTCAGTCTGAATTTGAATCTTAATCTGGACTTCTCGACAAAAACCCACAAAGGGTGATTTGAACAAAGTTCTCAGTCTGAATTTGAATCTTAATCTGGACTTCTCGACAAAAACCCACAAAGGGAAAAAAATAAATTTAAAAAAAAAACATTTGCCATCACTACCAACCATCGCATATTTTTCTTTTGACCTTTTCCTCTCTTCTATTTTTCTTTCTTCGTTCTTTTGTGCGGATGGGGGCGTGCGCGTGTGAACGTCATTAGCTGGTGTCGCTAATCTTGAATAATAACTGATTTATTCATACATGTTAATTTTCATTCTTTTAGCTGTTTGGTGGTGGGGTTAGGACCGTCTTTGGTACCATATGCCATTGTTTTGGGGAGAATTCTCCATGGTCCAGCTACACTATGTGCCAAGTGCCGAGCCATTTTTACATGGACAAGAATATGGTATCATTTGTACATGTAACGTGTGACGCAAGACACAGGAAACCTTCTACATACGTGATGAACAAGGCTATACATGTTGCCGTGCATACAAAATATACAGAACTATTTGTGCATGTATTCATCAACTAAAGAAACCTTTCGAGTGTTTATCTTGATACAACCTAGTATGCACGTCTGCATACAAAATCTCCAAAGATTGCAATGAAATTGTGATATTAAAGTGTCATCATGCATCCTCCCTAAGAGTTCATATATCCGACCATCCTGCACATCAGAGGTATATAGTCTGAAGATTTGGCTTTCAATCTATCTCTAGACGGTTGGACCAAGATAAGGGAATTTTATCTAGTTCACAGTTAAAAAGAATCCTAGCATGCACCATAATCTTCCTCCTACACATTAGGGAACAAAATCACCCTTTCAACAATTGAGTATCTAAATTCCCTTATTAGTCCAATAGATGTTCCGAACCGCAAGACTTGACCTAACTTGTCAAACAGTTCTGTTCCTAGCCCCCCCCCCCCCCCCCCTCCCCGAAGCTACGGTAAGGACATTCGCAAGGGTATCAAAAGAGTTGAAATAACTCCAAGCTAAGGGTTAAATAACCTCAAATAAATATCTTCTTTTATCCCGGCCTATTACTAAACAACGCCAAGGTGTTAACATATGTCTCCTCTCCTTTCCAATTATCTCCCTCTAAAAATTCAAGTCTTTTGAATTATCTATTCAAGGATGCCAATGGTCCAAATTGGGCAGCGTATAGCTTCTATTAGTATCTAATTAAAACAGATAAGGATGCTGAGGAACAAGTCTCGTTGAATACAGAATAATGAGGATGCAAATTTCGTGAACTGACACGATCGATTAGCCAATGAACATGACAAGCCAGGGAGGATTTGGTTCTAAAAAATACAGGACTACATCCAACTTAACAAGCTGCCACTGGGCACGCTCATTCAAAGATTTAAATCTCCACAAGGGCAGGGCTCCATTCAGATGATAAAACTTACATTGTATCCTCGCTCCAGTGTTGAATAGTAAAATCTCATAAAGAGCATATTTGGATGTCGTCTAATTTGTTGAGCCCACACACGATTCCTCTCAGTAGGAGATAATAATACCGAGATTAGAAGAATGAGATTGTGAAGGTTGGAGTTGGACACACAAAAATAAAAATAAAGAAGATAAAATAAAATAAGGAAAAAAGAAAAAGTAGTCCCAACAGAAAAATACTTAACCTTAGGTTGAGGGTACAGAAACGACACTTCCTAATTACTCAAATGTTGTTATGGAAGACATCCGCCCACCTGTAACAATGAAAATTGCTAACATACTCCCAAACAAGATGAAACTGCAATTACAATATTTTAGTAAAGATATAATACCCCAGCAGCACCCGTAGAATATCAGAGGAGCCCGATTTCCGAACAACCAAAACACGATGTTGTTTATACGATTAATCTTGATTAGTAAAAAGTTATGCATAGCCTGAAAACAACCAATCTTAACCTAGAAAGATGGGAAAGTGGAAGAGAAATAATTGTCACACAGAAAAAGCTTAACAAGACATAACAGTGCATTTGTTGATAATATCCTCAACTTAACCACGAGAAAACCAAGAGTTTCATACCTGAATCTTCACCATCCTTTCTAGCAGCATGGGAGGACCTAGTTCATCTTCTGATTTTTCCCTCACAGCTATAACTGAATATAATTTTGCAAAACTAAAGTATGAAATCAAAATATTTCTTCATAAAGCTAAACATGAAACATACATGCTTGATGCCCACTCCTACTTGTGGAAAGTAATGCAGTTAATATCTCAGTGACCCTTAATATTTGGGTTTTTTTTTGGTGTGTGTTTGGGGCCGCTGGTGCCGCGGCGGGAGACGGGGGGGGGGGGGGGGGGGGGGGGGGATTTCTACCCGTAAATGGTGCATAGATCTAAGTGACAGATCATGCCTCCAACTGTTTGGTACAGATACTTGGAAGGCTAATGCTTAAACCAGGTCTAACCCTCACAAGATAACTCCTAAGAATTATCAATGACATACTAATAAGAATGCCAGCAAGAATGGAAGGTTGAACTTCTTTCTTCTGAATTTGCTCTTTAGCCCTTTATGTTTCTTCCAGGCAAGATTTCATGCTAAGTCGTGACTCAATACGACAGGGATACTTTTCTTAATCCCCTCTTAAAATCCGCTAATGTTCATATTTCTGTAGGTACCCCTACCCCTCCCATAATCACGAGTTATTCTACAAAGTACAAACCTGCCAAAGTCACACTCGGCGTAGAGCCTAAAGGCGAAAATGAGAAATAATTTTCATATCCTTGACAATAGTACTGAGGATGCCTCGACAACTACAGTAAATGATAGGAAAAACTAGGAAATAGCAACCCAACTCATGCTTCAACTTGAAATTTTCATATCAAATACCAGTTGATTTTCTATGTGGAAAAGTCAGATCCTACACCAATATACCTCATTACAAATTGTAGTGATTAGTTAAAATTACATGTGAAAACAAAAACAAAGTGAAATATATTCTCAAAAGATTATCTATCCTGATAGTCACCACACTTATCCAAAATGAGAAAAAAATTAAGTTAGTTACATTCATCAAGCTCCAATGTATGCCATCAAAAATCAGAGAGCTTATTACTTGTTTTTGTGGTTTCTCCTTTCTCTTTTCAAATTGCAGGAGGTCTCCTTCTGAGGAAAGGGGCACCAAAGGGAGAAAAAAAAAATCACATATTCAAAGCAATAAACACAAAGCAAAAGCTAACTAACTCAAGCAACTACGAACCCAGAATACCTATGAAGCTTTTAGAGGATCAGATTGCAGCTCCAAGTTCTCTGCTATATTCAATGATTAAAGTCCAGAAACATGTGCGCCCCCTATAATGAACAAAATGAATTAAAAAATGGTAAAATTAGAAATATTAACCTATATTCCTTCTACATATCAAGTCGATGCCTAGCGTAGAGATTAAAAACTTTGAGAAAAAACTATAAAACAAAAAAAAAGTTATACAACTTCACAGGAATTATTTTTCAATTAAGTTTCATCTCCCCTGCTTTATCGCTTATGGCGAAGCAGCGAGTTCATGAGCAAGTGAATGAACAAACCAGCAATCCCTTGAGACTAGCCAGATAATGAAGATAGGTGTGGATACGCATCTTTCAATTAAGTAGCCTGCAGGGCCTTGAACACGTAAAATATAAGGTGATGGGTTTGTGATCTGGGCATTCCTATACTTTGCATTGGAGATTCTAATTATATTCTTAATAAAGAAGATGAAAAGGAAGGTGCAGCCTTCACCATCTCACAACCATGAAAAAACATATCTCATTTGACTAAAAAGGTTGTAACTGAGTTACTATCTTAAGACAAGCAAATATGAATTCATGACAACAGATTAGATGATGATGTAAGGCATAATATAAGTTGTACAAGTTACCTCTAAACCTGTTCCATGGTCTCCATTGTTGCTTTTTTGAGAATAAAGTCATGGAGTGAGCAAGGACTTCAGGATGATGAGGATAACACACTACATATGATGTAAACTATAATAAGTGGCAGGTTACCTCAGAATTTGCTCCATGGCCTCCATTGCTACAAAGAAAATAGTATAAACCTCGGAATGCACATATCATAAAGTATACGGGTGATGCACTTTGCCATGAATAAACAAGATCTACTGGTGAAACTAAAGTCCAAATTAGGATTAATGCGTAAACATCAATGAAACAATAAAAGCAGGGTATAGCATTAATGCAACTAAGTCACCTTGCATCAATTAATTGATCAACTACTCAGTACTTGATTTTTTTTACCAAGTTTAATAGTATGAATCTTATAGCAACACTTATAGTAGCTAAAAAAAATACATATATAAACATCAAAATTTAAAAAGAAAAGGAAAAAATAGGCATCTTATAAGTTTATAACATCGATTATCCAATGTCCTATCAGGGAATTACATCAACATAACAATGCTAATTTAGAGCGTATATTCAATAAAAGTTTACTAAAAAGTTAATATAAAAGCAGTTGCAGCAAAAATAACTCACAGCAGGATACAAATAAAGCTGAAGTACAAGGATGAAGTAACAATTCTCGAAGAACTGAATCCTACATTCTACTCATTCCTATTTGTAATGAACATAAACAAAATCAAAGCAACTAGGAAAAAGCCTGCACCCATATAGTGAATCATTACATTGTTGTCCATGTGTCGGCCAATTTCCAACATTATATGAAGGATTAACAGAAGAAATTACTGAATATAGGTGTACACTGAACTGCCATCTCCGGAATCCAGTGAACTAAAAGCTCAACATGCCAAATCTTCCTGCTAAAGGTTCTCTGTGCTCTTTATTCTCAAGATAAAAAAGCATAAAAAAGGGACTTCCGTTTAATATGATTCTTTCATGGCATGAATCAAAGTTTGCCTTTTGATGCAACCTTCAGAACTGTTTTAAACCCTCCCTTAGTAGGCTTCCCCCAGGGTGATACCGAAGGTCTACCTCCTTTGGTACGACCCTCACCTCCACCATGAGGATGATCCACTGGATTCATGGCAACACCACGAACAACAGGGCGCCTACCGAGCCACCGACTCTGACCCGCTTTCTTAAGCTTTCTTGCACCATGTTCAGGATTAGAAACTATTCCAATAGTAGCCCTGCATCGAGAATCAACCCATTTCTCAACACCAGAAGGCATCCGAATCAAACATTGCGCATCTTGCTCCTTGATCACTTTAGCGTAGGTTCCTGCAGATCGAGCCAGCTTTGCACCTTGACCGGGACGCAACTCAATATCATGTACCCATGATCCCATTCTTATATCAGTCAAAGGTATGCAATTACCCACTTGCAAACTCAAATCGAGCCTCTCATAGCTAATCTCCTGCAGCTTCTTCTGCATATCAGCACCCTGATCAGCCTTCAAAAGCTTCTTGCTTTGCAAAGGTTTGGGCAAATCACAGTTCACAACAGTCTTCCCGGGCTCCAAATGGTCACTAGCTATAATATAACTGACAGGCACACAGCCCTCCTTTGGCCCTTTGCCTACTTTAGGCTTAACAGGAGCTGCATTCTGATAAAGAGACCGGCCATTAGATAAAGCATAAGAAAGCACTTGGGTTGGGAGCAAGTTGCTCTGTTCAAGCTTAGGTCTCGATTCCACAAACCCCGAGCTTTGCCACGAAAGTGCTACTTTCCGATCAATCGACCGAGTCTTCCACCTCCAGATCTCATCAAGAGTCAAATTCTCTCCAATGTCTTCCTCTCCCGCTGCTCGGGGAGCGAAAAATGCCGGTCTTGCTCCAGCTACAGCGATCCTCGGGAAACGAAACCCTAACGAACTGGGCAAAACAGTTGGGTTCTCTCCCTCCGCGTCCAATGGAGACGAAGAGAAAGGCGAAGCTCTTACGGTCTCTTCTCCAATAGCTACATAATTCTTAGGCAAACACTTTGGTTGCAATGAGGACCGAGATGACGATCCCTGCTTTTGATCGACCCCCCCAGGGAGAGTCGAGAACGAGAAAACCGAGGAGATGGGAGATTCAAGAACCTTACTTCCCGCCGAGGGAGAGAGATCGTCGTCGGCCTTCCTCTGACCTCGACGTAGGAGATTGACGCCGTCGATCCAGCGAACGAGGGCGACGCGAGAGGATCGATTGGGATCGTACTCGATCCTCTCCACGACCCCGGTCGCCGGAGTGTTGCGCTTGAGATCGACCGTTCTCTGGAGCCGCTTCGATCCGCCGCCGCGGTGGAAGGAGGTGATGCGGCCGGAGGAGTTCCTGCCGGCGGTCTTGCCGGTGGATTTCGAGATCAGGGCTTTGAGGACACGGCCTTTCTCCTTCTGGACTCGCCTCATTCTTTCCCTTGTCTTCGTCATCTGGGGAGATCTCTGATGGATCGGAGCTCTAGGGTTTTCTGAGGGAGCGAGATCGAGGGAGAGAGCGAGGGCAGAAGAGCGACGGGAGTTGGGAGTTTAGGGTTTAGTAGAATGGGCCGGTTATGGGCTTGAGTCAAATGGGCCTTACGTGGGAGTTGGGAGTTTAGGGTTTAGTAGAATGGGCCGGTTATGGGCTTGAGTCAAATGGGCCTTACGTGGGCTCTCCCGCCCAGTGGGAACATTGACAGCAAAACTCACCTGCAACTTCCCACAAAATTAAAAAAAGAAAAAGTCATTTTTTGATCTTAAAGTTGTCGACTTTAGTCCCACATCGGAGAAAGAGGAGTTCACCTGCGCCGTTGACAGCGAGAAGGAAGTAGCCATGGTGACTAGGGGTGGAAATGAACCAAATAATTAACAAATAGTTCGATAATTGTTCGAATAACTATTCGATCATATTCGATTCGGTAGTTCATTTACCACTAAACAAATATTTTTTAGTATTCGAGTTTACTAACGAATAGAATTTAACCAGATGTATATTCGATTCGTTTGTCTATTAAATATTCGTTTAAAATTTAATCACAACTTATTATTTGTATTATTGCACATATGATGTCATATTTTTAATTCACTTACCATTTCTATTTAACTTTTATATACTGATTTTAAGTCTTAAATATTCTTAAATCTATTTTCTAATTAAAATTTTAATTTAAATATATATACATCATATATTAAAAAGGAATAATTTTTATTTATGAATTTTAATATTATTTGAAAATCAAAATTTTTAGTAGAATAAATATACTCTAATATTCGATAAGTATTCGTGAATATTCATGAATATTTATCAAATACCAAGTATTCGAGTTCGAATTCGAAAAACTAGATATATGAATATTAGAGTCCGCATTCGAATTCGATAATTTTAAACAAATACAAATACGAATACCTTAGTATTCGATTCGATTCGATCGTTTACCACCCCTAATGGTGACGAATGGGATATATGGGAACTCAAGTGGCTGCTTTATCCTGCGCTCGCGCTGCGCACGATAGGACCGGGGGTTAGGAGAACGCCGTCTTCGGTTTCTCCGTTGGGTCGTCAGAATAGCCGCTTGCTCTTGTCCCTTGGGTGGGGTTAAGGGTTACCCGGTAGCAATCGAATCCGACCCGCAATCATGCCAATTCTTTTCCTCTTTTTTTCGGGGTAATTGTGTGTTAGCCCCTTATACCATCCTTAGTTGCTGGAAGGTCCCCCAAAACTCAATATTTGTCAAAAGCACCTCAATTCTTCATTTTTATTGCCAGATTTGTGCCTCTGGTTAGTTGAAGCTATTATTTAGGGTGAGATTTTGTTAACTCAAATAATGGGTGGTGTTGACGTTGGTTATCAATCAGTTAGTTTGTATCTGTTGGTTATGAGGAATGTGGGGTTCTTAAACTTTTTGAGACGGCTGGGACTTGGGCCGAGAGCTCCGTCCTGCATGTGAAGAATAGTAAGATATCAAAGTTGGGATCTCCGGTGATTCCTCTGACGATCAAGTTAACGTAAAAGCTTGAGTGAAGAAGCCCTGTATAGAAAATCATATTTAAAGAGAATCAAAGCCTTGTACACCCATGCTCTGTCGCCAAATTTCAACGGTACAATCATCAGTATTGTAAAATCAGTACAATTGATTAGGAGTATCAGTGTGTATGCTAAACAATTGGTTTAGTAATAATTGATACACGAAATAATTTAATAATCAACATTAAAATTGATAGCGCAGCAACATGCATCGAGTTTCTCCCTCTCTTCTCTTTTTTTGTTTTTTTTTTTTGTTTTTGTAATCTGATTTGTTCTGTAGGAGGTGTTGCATGGGGTTTTCCTATGTCAAAGAAAAATGTTTTTTCAGTTGGGAAACTCATGATATTTGACAAATATGTCCTACAATTCTAGAACCTCCTCATATTACTATAAACAGCAAGGTTATACTTTGCAAAACTAGTTTCGATGACGCTTGTGGTTGACAATTGTATATCGTTCTAGATTTGAATGAAGTCTATAGTGCTATTTAGTAGCGGACTCGATATAATATGACCTTTTTATTGCGACAAGACAAAAAAATGTTGGCTGAAAAAACTTTGTAATTAATAATTTAGTACAAAGTTGTTAGGTGCTTTGTAATTGTTGGTGCAAAAGATTGTGTAATATATAAGACCATGCATCGAAATTGTGGAGATTTAGCTCCGAATTTGAATGTTAGCTCTAAATTAATGTCTCCGCTTAGTATTTGATTACTTGTAAAAACTATAAGATTTGTGTACTTTCGTCACAGCCAATTGTTTGTTTACTTGATGATGATTTTTAAGTCTTTTCATCTTTCTTTATAGGATCATAGTATTAACACCAGTTTTTCTTAAAAATAAGAATGTAATTAAAATTTCCAAGTCTCATATTACTAATAAAAAATAAAACTATATTTGTGGTAAGCAATATTGTCACTTTTAACTCTATATTTCCCGACAAATAATTTTCAATAATCTATTATTAGAGAAGAAGGAGTATTGGCAAAACGGTAAATAACTAGAAGTGCGAGGGTACTATGTAATTCCCTTCCACTATCCATTACTTGCTTCGTGGCACCGCAAAGTGAGACGCGCGAGCATCGACGGCGACGCACGAGCTTCTCAACCGCGCGCACCTCGAAAAGATCAAACTCGAAACTAAATTCTCCGCACAAAAAACCTCTATGCGACCCAAAAGAGACGCCGACACGTGTCCAAACTAATCGCTGCGCAGGAAAATTTCGTGCAGAAGCTCGTATAGGATTCAAGGGAGCGATGCAAAGCAAATGAAATTTTCGGAAATTTTAATGGGAAAAGAGATTCGAGAGAGCGACTTCGAGTAATTAAAGAGGGAGGGAGCTGCTCAGATCTCAAACCTCTCCCTGTAACCCTAGTTTTCCTTCGTTGACTTCTTTGTCTTCGAATGGAGATCTCTCGATCTCTGGCGATCTCCTCATGGATCGCCATGGCGATCGTGCTCTCCATCGCGCCAGCTGGCTGCTTCTATCTCCCCGGCGTCGCTCCCGCCGACTTTCAGAAGGTCAGGCTCCCAGTCTCCCTCTCTCTCTCTCTCATCGCTTCCATGATATTATGTTAGTTTTAGATGATTTAGAGTTCTTGGATTTGATGCGGGTTTGGGATTTTTGGTTGATTCTGGGGATTTTCTCGATATGTGTTTAGGAACGCAGAAATTTTTGGGTGATAGAAGAGGTATTGGAGTAAAGATGGTATCTTTAGGTTTTTGCTTTGGTCGGAATCCTGTTTGATTAGGTTTAATGGATGGTTATGAACTGATTTGAGTTTGTTTTATTATCCATTCGACTAAGTTAAAACAATTTCGTACATACCATGTTTTGCATTCTTTTAATTTGGGTTCTTTACTTCTTTCAGCCTGAATTTGGTTAGATGTAAGGCTATCATAGTTTATGACATGTGTGTGCCTGTATGAAACAGTACATGATTTAGAGCGCTGGTTAAGCATTAGAATGATATTTATTAAGCTTAGTTACCTTCGTAGCATGTGCTTGTATCAATTAGGTTAGTTAATCTTATCTTCTGATGGGGGCATTTCTTTCATGGGCTGATGCATACACTTCGATTCACAATGTGTATTACTTTTATTTTTTGGGAGAAGTTATCATTGTATCTACTGCTATACAGAGAACATTATACATATCCACGTCTTCCTAGGTTACCCGGACACTTCATCTACGCTGTTGTATCCGTGTCTGTGTCCCGTGTTCGACATTCCTTGGACGCTTCTTGAATGTATACATACATTTATCCATGTGTGTACTCAATTATATAACACACTTTAATTCAAAAAAAGCGTGATACACTTCTCGAACATATATTGCAAACTTCACCTCAAATTTATGCAACTCATTAAACCCGGGAGAGGTTCGTTTTAGCACATACCTAGTTCATAAGTATGATTTTAAAGGGTTGCGTGGGTATCTAGTTCAAAAACAAGCAGACTTTTAATTTATAATCTACTCGATTAAAGAAAGATAAACATGATATAAGGGTTTTAGTTTTCATAACATGTGAATGAAAAACAGTATTGACCTCATATAGATTATTAATTTTAATGTGTTTGTATGTAGCCATGTCCCCGTGTCCTAACTTTTACAATTTTGTTGTGTTTCATGCATTTATCCGTCTGTATCTGCACCCGTATCCGTGCAACATGGACATGTTTACATAGAACTTGCTGAGTTTGTTCTACAACTTTTCGTGGTCCAGAAATTCTATATTAGTTTGTTCTAGAAATGTCATGGTTTAAAAAAGAGAGGAAAACTGTCATGTATGAGATGTAGGTATTTGCCACTTAACGTTGTTGTGCCTGATGGAGGCTTTTTTTTTTGTGATGAACACAATGAGTGAGAACATTTCCAAACTTCAGGATGCTTTGTAGTCCAAGTAATGAATCTTGGCTATTTACTGTCTCCCTGAATAAGCATGTCCATGTCGTAAAAGTTCCTGTCATAAAAGCTCCTGTAGGTACTGCAAGAACATAAAATGATTTACTGAGGAAACTGAAGCCAAATAGATGATAATCCCTAGAAAGAAAGATGATCAATTGAGCTAAAACTTTAATTTCTCTATCCTAATTTGATTTCTTTATCTTCATCTCCCTCCCCGATCCATGAATGATACACATATTTTTTTTAATTCCAAATTAATGACAAAATTTACTGTCATTTGTCGACAAAATTTATTGTCATTTCTCATTTATCTCGTGAAAATCAAAGTGGGCACAAACGCTTCGTATTTGTTACCTGACATATAATCTGTCTTAAAATAGGTAAATATTTCTTTCCATTATGAGTAGTGATTGTATCTAGTCATTTTGGATAAGTCATAGTTTTCTAGGAGAGACATACACTTGGCACCATATTGACATGTTCAAGTAACACTGTTGTTTGTACCACTTTTAACTCCTCCAGCTCCTTTTGTCTGAGCCGCTGAGTTGGGAACAGAAGAAGGGAACTGAACTACGGCAGTTCATATTTTGTGTTAGATTTGGTTGTGCAGTCCCTTCCTGACGAGAAAAGGATAAAAGTGAGAAGCAAGTTGATGAAGAAAAATGCTTAAACTACAAAACAATTTTGTCAATTTATGTTTGTTACTTAGTTCATATATTACAAATTACAAACCTCATAGAGCATATTGAGTTACTACCCCTAAAAGACAAGCTTATCAACTAGTACCATCTTAATTCTGTGCATGGCAAATAATTTTCGTAATTTATTGTGCAGTGTAGTGTTCTATAAGAAGAAAGTATAATCTTGTGCTTATGTCATTCAGAGTTATCTATAGTAGTAGCTAAATTATCTAATTATGAGAGGTGTTTGAATAGGCACTAGCTCTATATACCTAGGATGTAGTGATCGGATACAGGTTTTACAATATTCATACCTAGATTCATTTGTCGAACCTTGATACAATAAATATTTTTAGAAAATCTAGCATCCATATGAATTGGATATGGATATTTTCCATATCTACCACAAGCGATGTGTACATTGACTTGATTGATGAAAAAAATTTATCAAAATAAATACAGAAGTAAATAATTTTGAGAAAGCAAATCTGACAAGGCCCTAAGAAAACTCAGTGAATCCAAATTATATTATAGATTTTGGTTAGTTGTGGGCAGGGTAATATATGCTTAAATAGTGAGGGTAAGATAATTGATTTTAATGACCTAAGGTCAATGGGTTACAGGTCTGTTAGTAAATTAACACAATTGCTGAAGATAATGTAAGTGTTGTCATATCATTGATTAAAGGTTAATTGGTATATTCACAGAATTGCTCAAGATTATGCAAATGTACTTTTTTGGTTGCTTAGCCATTACCTGATAGTATAAAAAAGTGAAATTCTTCTGTATTTCTTATTTAACAGTTTATTCTTGCATTAGGTTTCAAGCTGTTCTGTATCATAAATAATTGTTTATTCTTGTATTAATTTTCAAGTTTTTATGTCTCATTGTTTATATGCTTGGCTGAACATCTGATGATCCTTATACTGCATCCTTAGTTTTCAACATACGCATGAACGAGTGTAAATCAACTATTAAGCTTTGGATCAGCTAAGTTGATTTATGTGGAGTCATTGAAAGTATCTTGTCATATTTCGCGCTCTATGGAGTGCTTTAGACATGTCATTAATTATATCAATCCTGAAATATCGCTTCTGTAATGCGTTGTCGTACACTTTAAATTGGTCATTTTGTTTAACAGTTTCTAGTACTGAGATATACAAGTTTTGGCTGCAGAAAGATCCACTAATGGTGAAAGTGAACAAACTAACTTCTATAAAGACTCAGCTTCCATATTCTTATTATTCACTTCCGTACTGTAAGCCAACAACTATAATTGACAGCGCCGAGAATCTTGGAGAAGTCCTTCGTGGGGATCGCATTGAAAACTCTCCCTATGTGGTTAGATACCATCTTATTGACATTTCACATATTTATGCAGCTGTTTTGTTTTATCTAGCTGAATTATGTACTCTAATTCTATCAGTATCTATTGTGTTCAGTTTGAAATGAGAGAGCCCGAGATGTGCCACATTGTCTGCAAGATAACTCTCAATGAAAAAGAAGTGAAGGATCTAAAGGAAAAGATAGAGGATGAGTACCGGGTTAATATGTAAGACAACTTATCTAAATAAACACAGCCTTTTGCTATGAATCTTTACATGGTCATTATAAGTGCCACTATCCTTACGCAAATGCACCAACTTGACAATTGACAGGATCCTTGACAATCTTCCCCTAGTTGTTCCCATTAAAAGACTGGATCAGGAGTCTTCTACATTCTATCAGCATGGCTTTTATGTTGGCGCCAAAGACCAATATTCTGAAGTAATTACATATTGAAACCTAAAAATTGGTGCAATACGCATTTCAAAAACTAATGACTGGTTGTAGTAAAACTTATCAATCTTTTTTTCTTTTTCTTTTTCTTTTTCTTTTTGCAGAGCAAGGATGCTAAATATTTTATCAACAATCACCTCTCCTTTCTCGTCAAGTATCACAAGGATGTGGAAATGGACCTTGCAAGGATAGTTGGATTTGAGGTCAAACCATTCAGGTTCTTTTCTTACTAGAAAAAAAAAATCTGTGAGGATTCGTTGTTAACCTTGTCTTCTTTTGATAACTCTCCCTCGCTCATTAACATTGTAGTGTTAAGCATGATTATGAAGGTGAGTGGATGGAAGGCAGAACTCGACTGACCACCTGTGACCCTCATGCAAAACAGACCGTTTTGAGCTCTGATTCTCCGCAGGAGGTTGAAGATAAGAAGGATATTATATTCACATATGACATTGAGTTTCAGGTATGACAACTAGCGATAGGTAGCTTGATGACCACATTTATGTACAAGCACGGCTACCAGTATGTTACATTTTCACTCTCCATATTACCTGCTACCTTGTTGCATGGTTTATATATAGCTTTATGAAGTTACATTTCTAACCATTTGAAAAGTTTACAGGGTTTCCCTATGACCCAACCAAATCTATTATGAAAAACCCGGCATATTCAATAGAGACAATTTATCAACTGGTGGATAATCAATGGCTTATTCCCTTTTTTCCATCTGATTTCAGCCAGGAGATAATTGAGAAAAGATTTTTTACCTTCCATTCTTATGCTTTTATTTCAGCCCTAGTGAAATGGAGAGAGAAAGTTCACTTTCCCAAAAGAAATGGTAGGGGAAGAGTGTGGTTTAGTTGACTGTGGTTCAGTTGTCCGATAAGAATCTACAAGATGGACCATATTTGGAGCGTGTAAAATTTGCAGAAACAAGTAGTATATTTTCTTAATTTTGTCAAAATTTGAAATATTCAGATCTCAAGGTGGATATTAAAACCTAAAAACTTGACACCAAGTTCTGATACTGTCGGACGTTAACTTTTTATTTTTTACCCTTTCCTTTACAGGAGAGTGATGTGAAATGGGCATCCAGGTGGGACACTTACCTGCTAATGAATGATGACCAAATCCATTGGTTCTCCATTGTCAACTCGGTGATGATTGTCCTCTTTCTCTCCGGCATGGTGGCCATGATCATGTTGCGAACCCTATACCGTGATATTTCCAAGTACAACCAGCTCGAAACCCAAGAAGAAGCTCAAGAAGAAACTGGGTGGAAACTAGTTCATGGTGATGTGTTCAGGCCTCCAGCCAACTCTGATCTCCTCTGTGTCTATGTTGGCACTGGTGTCCAATTCTTTGGTATGCTACTCGTTACCATGGTGTTTGCTGTTCTTGGCTTTCTCTCCCCATCAAATCGAGGAGGATTAATGACAGCCATGCTTCTCCTCTGGGTCTTTATGGGTATCTTTGCTGGATATTCATCTTCAAGGCTTTACAAGATGTTCAAAGGTTCAGAGTGGAAGAAAATCACTCTAAGAACCGCATTCGTATTCCCTGCCACCGTCTTTGTCATCTTCTTCGTGTTGAATGCCCTTATTTGGCGGCAGAAATCCTCTGGTGCCGTCCCTTTCACCACAATGTTTGCTCTAGTCTTGCTTTGGTTCTGTATCTCTGTTCCTTTAGTCTTTGTAGGAAGCTATATTGGGTTCAAGAAGCCAGCCCTGGAGGACCCGGTTAAAACCAACAAGATCCCTAGGCAAATCCCAGAACAGGCTTGGTACATGAATCCTATTTTTTCGATACTCATCGGAGGAATCCTTCCGTTTGGAGCGGTGTTCATCGAGCTCTTCTTCATCCTAACTTCAATTTGGCTTAACCAGTTCTACTACATATTTGGTTTCCTCTTCTTGGTCTTTATTATTCTCATTGTCACCTGTGCTGAGATCACGATCGTTCTGTGCTACTTCCAGCTTTGCAGTGAAGATTACTTGTGGTGGTGGAGATCTTACATGACCTCTGGCTCTTCTGCACTGTATCTCTTCCTCTATGCAACATTCTACTTCTTCACTAAACTAGAGATCACTAAGCCAGTGTCGGGGATTTTGTACTTCGGCTACATGTTCATTGCTTCTTATGCTTTCTTCGTGCTTACGGGAACTATTGGCTTCTATGCTTGCTTCTGGTTCACGAGGCTTATCTATTCATCTGTGAAGATCGATTAAATACACATTTCCTCACTGGGGGCTATACCTACATTGAAACATCGTCGTCAACAGGTACTTTAGTCTAACTTCCAACATTCTTGGCGTCTGGCTTCAGTTTTGAGTTTCAGTGGTCATCTCATTTGATATATGATTCTATTTACATTATTCGTTCGGGTCAGCGAGTAGCTTTCCTTTTTTTAGTTTTGTTAAAGACTTTTTAATGTTTCTAGTAATGTTCCACAGCATGTCTCAACAATTAAGCATTCTTTCTTTTTACTTATTTTTCCTCTGGTCCCTTCAACCGTGTTTATTGCCATCTTGTTGTATATCTGAACAATGAATTTAATTGTTTCATTCAGTTGAAAGAAACATGTCACGGTTTACTGTTATCTAGCATCTTGAGTTTGTGACGGCAGTGAGAAATTGTATCTGAGAGTTAATTGATGTGCGACCTATGATTTGCCAGTTCTCTCATTGTTTGTTCCTTCCCATGCAACGTTTGACGATGAAGAATCACAGTTTTTATGCTTGCAGTTGCAGTGAAATAGCACAAATAATTTATCTCCTTTTGCATGGAAAGCAAAAAGGGAAAACAAAATCTCCTTTTTAGGCGTCTCAATTTGCTGCAGGAAGGTATCGTGTTGGGTAAATCTCAATTTGATCTTTTTCGAATTAGAAGATAAATTTATATATGTTCACCATGTCGTATAATACAACCA